TTCTGCTGCCACAGCCAAGAAGGCCCACAACTCAACCACGTCGGTTTTGGGCTCAGGGGTTTCCTAAACCTTAGGGGTTTAGGGTTTAGGGTTTAGGGTTTAGGGTACCCTAAACCCTAAATCCTAGGGTTTAGGGTTTAGGGTCTAGGGTTGTGGGCTTAGGATTGGTAAATTTATGTTCTTCACGGCTGCCAGCCTGCGCCGCTCCCGGTTTTGAGGGCTGGGGCTCATAGGGTTCGTTGAGTACCCACGCTGCAGCCCTTACTGGCTTAAACGCCTCATATCCTACATGTCTCACCTGTACCTCCTGAGCCCGAAAACCTGAAGCCCGAAAAATCCAATAGATCCCGCACTCTGGACCCTCAAAGGCTGCGCTATCCTTTAAAATTCCAAGAACATCCAAGAACTCAAAGTCTACTAGAGGGTTTAGGGTTTGGGGTTTTCGCGGCCATACATCGTACTTCAAATCGTGGATCCAAACTCTAAACCCGAAGAACCATCAAAATCCCAAGCTAAACTTCCTGCAGCCGCGAAGCAACATTTTTGACCTCAGCCGGAAGCAGCGTTCAGTTACAGGGTGCCGAGACCCTTAACCCTAAACTCCGAACCCCTACATTCAAAACCACATACCCTTGAACTCCAAAGCCTAACATCCCGAAGTTCTAAAAACTAAAGTCAGTATAGCGGCCTTAATAACTAGAAATTGGCTTGAAGGTATACTACAACATAATGAATAAGCTTGATAAAGAACCTTAAGGAATAGTCTACTTCAGCGGACTTCGCAAGGAATAGTACTGGCTTCTACATTAATCCAACACCCTAGTGTTCCCTGGGGCCGAGTTTAGGAGCAGGGCTTCTGCTTACTTTTATCCTACAATCTACTCCAAACCCCATTCTAATTACCAGATTTAAGTACACTCTTATCGGAACCCCACAACCCTAAACCCTAAATCCCTAAACCCTAAACTCTAAACCCTAAACCCTAAACCCTAAACCCATCATTAATCATTGAGGCCCCTTTTATTGAACCCTGCACCCTAAGCCAAGCAATCTCCTTGAAGATCCACCTGGTGTCGTTAACATTCTTGGGTCGATAATGGGTTTACAGTTTAAGTGTTTAGGTGTTTGGGGTGTTTAGGCTCTAGGGTTTGGGTGTTTAGGGTGTTTAGGGTTTAGGGTGTGTAGGGCTTAAGGTTTGGGGAATTGTTTGGGCTTGGGCGTTATGCCCGGAATGAAGGGGTCCTTGTGACCTCCAGGGGCTGAGGCCTCGGGTGAAGTAGCGCTGGGGTAAGGAGGAGCCTAGAAGACACTTTGGAACCCTAAACCCCGAAACCCCCAAACCCATGCCTAATCCCGCAATTCCCTAAACCCCTCCTAAAACCCTAAAACCCCCTGCCTAAACCCCTAAACCCCTAAAACCCTAAACCCTTAAACCCTAAACCCCTAAACCCCGACAATCCCTAGACCCCTAAACCCCGACAATCCCTAGACCCCTAAACCCCTACAATCCCTAGACCCCTAAAGCCGCTAAACTCCCGCACCCTAAACCCCCACAATCCCTAGACCCCTAAAGCCGCATGTGAAATCGAACCGGAGCTCGCCCCCCACGCTAAAATCCTGAGGACCAAACGGCAAAAAACCCTGAGCCATGGCTCAACCTAAGGGTTTAGGGTGCAGGAGTTTAGGAGTTTAGGGGTTTAGGGGTGTAGGGGTTTAGGGGTTTAGGGGTTTTGGGGTTTTGGGGTTTAGGGGTTTAGGGGTGTAGGGGTGTAGGGGTTTCGGGGTTTAGGGGTTTAGGGGTTAGGGTTTGAGCTGTGGCTCAACCAAGGGGCGGCGTAAGAGCGACCGGTGTGTGCATCCTGCGCGGAGGGTCATAGAACTTCAGGCTGGCTTGCAGGCTGACGGGTGTTAGGTCTGGCTCCCACGCGTACTTAAAGGATCATGGGACTTAATAACTATAGGGTTATAAATAAGGTAGCTATACTTATAATTACTTATAACCCCAATTAAGGTACTTATAACCTTACTTACTATGTCCCATGACCCTCTAAGTATGAAATCAGAAGGTGCCTTGCAGGTGGAAACTTCTAAGTCTGCCACGTTGCCATAACTACCAAATCCAGCACACGCTGCGAGCTGCCAGGACTTTTCCATGCGTGGCTGCTCTAGCACCGGTCCAAGCGTTCACTAAAGACGACGAAACCAGGCAACTGCAGCTAAGGCTAAGGGTCTAATTATACTATATACCGGCAGGCATTGCAGGCCTCACTTTCCTTACAGGCAGCCGCTTGACATCATGCTTCGGACACAAACTCTGAGGAGATGCACCCTGGCTTCTTCGAAACAGCCTGCAGTTCGCCGTCAAGCAGGAGAACCGGTGCAGTAACACTCAACAGAACTGGCGTCATAAAGCGGTTCAGAGCAAGCGCAACCAGCTCCTTTCTCGTGTACGGATTGATGATGCCTGGTGGTGTGCATGGCAAGCGAAGGACATGCGACGGCGAGCTTTCTTCTGGCGACACCGAGCCTGGCCCCCGAAGTGCCACAACATCCGTATCGCCGGCAGACTCGTCCTCCGCAGGCACGTCTGTTGTCCGATCTTCCTCTTGGATGCCCTCCGATGAGCCAATGCGTCCAGAGGAAAATGCGCCAGAAAGCTCATGCAACACATCCGCCTTGAGCATGTGTGTGAAGCAGCAGTCTGAGTCTTGTGCGGGGATGCCATCATGCTCATCTTCCCGCACATGCTGCAAAAGCTCTGCCAACACCAAGAAGATGCTCGTTGCTGCCACCAACTTGCTCAAAATCGTGGCTGCCAGCGGGTTGTTTCCAGCGGTCTGGAAGGTTGCCGAATCGACGCCATCGTCACGCGGCTCAGGCTGGAGGTAATGCAGGATCACTGTCTTGAGAAGCGGGGTGTTCCACTCGATGGGATTCCTGGGGTGAGCATAGTGCATTTCTTCTGGCGCATACACCACCCGGATGTTTCCGGTATCGTGACAAACTTGCATGTGGTTGAACCTCCCACTGTTCACCTCAAGCTTCCAAGCGAGCTGATGAATTCCAGCTTCGCCGTTGGAGAACCCGAGGAAGTCTTGATCTCGCTGGCCCTGAACCACACCCGCCAGGCAGAATTGCGAGCGAAGGAAGGGTAGCACGCTAGGAGCATCAAGATGGAGGATGTCCTGTCGACTAAGATCACCGGCCCAATTCCATGGCAACCACTTAATAAACGTCAGGGCTTCATCGACGACTTCCTCCGCAAGCTGCATGAGCTCCGACAGCAACCAACCTACGACTTCGGCCAGCTGCCCAGCTGCATTCTGACGAAGAACCCTTTCCGAAAAATCCGCGAAGGATTGGCCAGCAAGATTGCGAAGTTCCTCGTGCCTGCTCTCATGGGGCATTCCAGGGTCTTCCGTAATCCACTGCACCACCATGACGAAGAGGGTGCATACCATGTCATGCTTCCCAGCTGATGTCAGGAAAGTCTGCAAGAATTTGGGGGCCTCGACCAAGCTCCACAACCAGTGCATGTCACCATCGCATTTATCCAGCATCGCCCTGTCGCGAAAGAGCAGCTCTAAGCATTTGCTGGAGACCAGCTGGAGAACGCAAGCGGCCACAAGGCATGCCATGCGCTCGTTGCGGCTGCGGCTTGAGCTCAAAGCCTTGTCCAGAAGATGACAAATCGGCAGCTGATTGAAGGAGAGCTCTTGATCGCCGCGAACGGTCCAGAAGCTGGAGCCCGGCACTTGCGAATGGCCGGGAGGCGAGCTTCCAGAGAGAAGATTCACCAAACTCCTCTCCATTGGACCATCGAAGCCGACAGTTGGAAAACGAAGGCCCAGGTACTTCTTGAGCGGAGAGGACACCATGCGTTGCTTCTTTTCCTTGCTCCATGGCTCTGGGTTTTCCTCTGGAAGGCTGTCGGTGCTGAAATCCGGGCGGTACTTCGCGCAAAGCATTCTCCGACGTCGTCCCTGCTCTTGCTGTGTGATGCGCAAGGTTACCAAGACATCACTCCAACCGCAACCCGTCTCCTCCCTCTGCAGAACCCTGTGGATTTCGCACACATCGAAGACGAGGTCCAAGGAATTGCGTAGCTCCATCCGTGACTTGCTGAAGAGTGTTTCGGTGATCAGAAGCAAGCACCTTGCTGGCAGCCTATTCTGATCTCTCTCGGTTCTGCCGTGTAGGCACTTAATCTTGATTCCCTCTTCTTTCAAGGCGCTTTCATTGGCGCTTCGGACGCTGCGCATGTCGTTGGAGCCACCAACCACAAGCGCCACACGCCCTGGCCAATCGTCGAGGTACATCTCTCTGATTTTCCATTCTGTTCGGTGGCCTGCGTCATCATCATCCCTCCGCAGCCCTAGAAGCAAGAAGGGCCGGGTCAGGGATGCCGATGTTTGGGCGACCGACATGGACGGCCACCAGGCTTCTACGCGAAGTGCAGTGCAAAATCACCAAACGCTGCGAAAGAGATGCCATCATGTGCCATCAAAGGTGCCCATCGAAAGATATCGAAAGATCCGACTTACGCCAAAATGCAAGAAGTGTAATTCAGTATCTTTAGTATAATTATCAGTATAGTCTTAAATCAGACCCAACCTGTGGCCTTGCTTGCCCAGTATCTGAGGGGTACTGAAGGTTCACCTTGGGTTCAGAGTTTAGGGTTCTACGGTTGATGATATCAATCCTGCATTACCTATGAGGAAGATACCATAATTCCCATAGTTTAGGGTCCTTGAGGTCATGCAGGATTTTTGCCATCAACAGTAGTACCCCAACAAGCTTCAAGGTTGCCTACTCTACCCCTTAGTGAGCTCTGGCTCTGCCCCTTTGGCCGTGCTCAAAGTAGACACGAATAAGGATTTCGAAAAGCACGACTTAGCAGAATCGATTTGGCGGAATAAAGGGCTTAAGGTTTAGGTTTTATGCCGATTTTACGGTTTAGGGCTTAGGATTTACGGGCTTCGTAGGTAGGCTCGACTGGGGTTCAAGGTATTTGATGTTTTTGCAGAGGTTTTCTGCTGTCTACCCTTAGCCCTATAGCCCTGAGCCCTAAGCCCTCAGGCTAAACCCGGATCCCTAAATCCTAAACGCTAGCATAAGATGCTGCTATCGACATCTCCCTTCTTAGTCTCTCACATGCTGCCAGTCGTCCAAAACCCTCAACTCTCTCCTTCAATAACCAAGATAAGAAAAGTTCAGACTAACACAGGGGCCTTAATACATTTAACAGGAAGAATAAGGCTTTCGGGCTTTGGGGTACATTACAATAAAAATTGTCGAAGGTTTGCTGGTCCTTTCGGCCTCTATATATGACGTAGGTACAGTACAATAAAAGTTGGCTAGGACCTACATAGACCATTGCACCGCAAGCCTTGGCACGCCAGACCGTGCCGAAGGATCCCCGGCCAAGCACCGCCGTCTCCGGGATGTGCATGAGCCTTGGGAAAACAGCTACACTAAACCCTCAACCCTAAATCCCAAACCCTACACCCTACACCCTACACCCTAAACCCTAAACCCTAAACTCTAAACTGTAAACTTGAAGGTTTAGAAGGAGTCTAAAGTTGCCTTGAAGGGCGCTAGGGGATCTTTCAAGGGTCCTTTTAGGGGCTCTGTTAAGGGTTTAGGGTTTAGGGTTTAGGGTTTAGGGTTTAGGGTCTAGGGTGGCTTCCTTCCCCGGGTCCCTTTCCCAAGCCCGCTGCACACTCAGCCTTCTTGTCATGTCTGAAGCTTCATCTATATTGAACTTGGGACCCCAGCAAAAATTTATGATTTCAGCTGTTTCGTAGCGGTTATAATAACCATGGATTAAGAGTCATTTCTAAGTACCCGTAAGTTTATAGGCTTTAGGCTTCGAAGCCAACCTAAAGGTTACTGCTTGAACGAACCTCTCAAATGAATATGAGGAGCCTGAATAATTAGAATAAAGTTTTGGTGGTATATTATACTCCCGTTATTATAAGGAATCCCCAAAACATATAGGTAACTATTTAGGCCCCTATATTCAGCGTTTAACCCCAAGCCCTGAACTTTGTTCCCCCTCCCTGAGGAGGAAACTCAACCAAACCTACACCCCCGATAGGCCCAAAACCCCTTAGGGTTTAGGGTTTAGGGTTTAGGATTTAGGGTTTAGGGTTTAGGGGAGCCCTTAAAGGAACCCTTAAACGAGCAGCTGCTGGATCCCGATGATCTATAAGCCTCCTTTGGATTATAACAGACTTGTCCCACTTGCCTGGAAGCGCCTGCACCGTTAAAAAGGATTGAATTTGGGACCCTAGCAAAAAAATAGCTGTTTCTTGGTGGGATTAATAAAGATTAAGAATTATTTCTGAGTACCCCTAAGAAGCGTGGCTTTATGGAGTTGTTGGGGTGCTGTTTTGGTGCGGCCCCTTCAGCACTTAGGATGGTTTGGGTCAAGGGCTGCGGGTTCAGGCTTCAACAGCACTTGGGCCATCAAACTTAAAACATGTTGACAAGTGGGAGTTTCCGACAATTAGGATATCTTATTTTGGGGTCCTTAATATAAGGATCCGACTATTTGGGGTCCTATGTTAGGGTCACCTATTTTCGGGAACTCGCAAGTGGTTCATACTTTAACTCCTCGATCCTGCACCCGCATCCTTAGCCCTACTTTTAACTACCACAACCTACATTTTTGAGGGGTCCTTCCGTATTCTGAGGCTATACTCACAACCTACAAGAAAGTCGGCTATGCGCAGTCTTGCGCCAGAGCAATGCCCCACCTCCGCCACTCCTTCTCCCGCTCAAAGCTTAAGCTACAGACTTCCGCGAGCACTCATCGTTACCCAAGGAACCCGAAACCCTCAACCCTCAGCCCTAAACCCTAAACCCTAAGCCCTAAACCCTAAACCCAAAGCCCTAAACCCTAAACCCTAAGCCCTAAACCCTAACCGAACCCGAAACCACGGGTTGCAGTAACCGACATCAGGATTCTGGGTCTTTAGGCTCGTCATCCATGGGCTGCTGTGAGTGGGTTGGAAATCTTTGAATCAAGAAAATACTCAGGAGCTTCATTAAGGTTTCGTTTAGGGTTTAGGATGACCCTTAACCATAACTATGACCAGCTGTTCTTGATCTCCCACTTGGACGTACACGACCCTTAAAACCCTAAACCCTCAACCCTAAAGCATCCTTTTGAAAGGATCCATCATCCCACCCTGCTGGGAAGCGCGACGCAAAGTGCCAGTTCCCAATCTCGCGAAGAGACAATGCCTCGAGAAGCCATCCGATCCGCGTTTCAGTTCTACGGCTTGGGATTTAGGGCTCGAGGTTCGATATCTTGGCCCTAAACCATCCTTAAACCCTAAACCCTAAACGGCTTCGCTGAACCTCTAATTCACTATCATGATGGAAGAAGGAAATGCAAGCTCTGCACTGCGTGGGTTCACGTCTGGCTGTCCCTTGGCGTGCCACCTTGAAGGGCAAACAAGGGCTTAGAATCCACGGTGAAGCTTGCTCAGAGCCCATGTACCCCAAACCGCAATGTAGGAGCCGAAATAGTTACCAATACTATTTGGGGGGCTTCTTAATTATTTTTAATTATAGTATAATGGGCCCCATTCTCATCATAAAGGCCCCTATATGAAACCCCAAACCCATTGGCAAAACATGGGACCCTTTGGAAGGGGGGGCTTTGGGAAATTTGGCATCGAGATTTGAGGCGGCAAAGTCTCCAACCACAATCTGGTAGGCTTCAGTGTATTTAGCTTTGAGCGCCCAACTCCCTAAACCCCAAACCCCCAACACTAAACCCCAAACCTCAGACCCTAAACCCTAGACCTTGAACGCCGAACCCTAGACACTAAACCCTGAACCCTAGACTCTGAACCCTAAACCCTCAACGCTAAACCCTGAACCCTTACAAGCGGGGGCGTAGATGCTTTCTTGAGGCGGTATCGGGCAACCTGCTCATACTCTCAGTTACCTCAACAAACAATCTGGAAGAATCTGGAGCTATCCTAAACCCTAACCTAACCCTAAACCCCTACACCCTAAACCCTAACCCCAAACTTCCGGGCTCGAGATCGAAGCAAACCCCCATTGCTACCTGGACCCCAAAGAACCTACCTTTGTAAGGACTTAGAAAAGGAAATCATAATGAGGAAGGAGCCCTAAAGAGGACGATTTGATAGGGTCCAGTCGGCACCAGACAGGTCGTCTGAGCTGCATCCTGACTGCTGGCTTTTTGACTGTGCGCCGAGGGCGACGACATCCTAAACCCTAAATTCAAACCCGAAACCCTAAACCCTTAACCCTCTATTCGAAAGCCGAAACCTTAAACCCTAACCCTAAAGTCTAAAGCCGAAACCCTAAACCCTAAACCCCACATTCTAAAGCCGAAACCCTAAACCCTACGACGTAGGTGCGGAGTTCTTTGGCGAGGGACCCTAGAGACTCCAAAACCCCTCTTCATTACGGGTGTAGGGTTTAGGGTTTAGGGTTTAGGGTTTAGGAATATACCTCCCTATCATATTCAGGTTCCGATTATAGTGTAAGAGATATTCCTTCGGGTTTAGGGTTCAGGATTTAGGGTTCAGGGTTTAGTGTTGAGGGTGTAGGTTGATTTCCTATACACATCTGTGATCGCATCCTCGTGACATAATTTCGCGAGTGGGTGATCGGTGCAGAAAAGTCGCAGGGGCTGAGCTTTTCACCTCTTCATAGTGCGTCGCCCCTGGTTTCTACATCCTGTACAACCTACATCCAAAAGCCCCATCCTCCTGGACCCCACGACTTGAACTTTGACGTAAACCTCAAACCCTAACCTCCAAAGCTTTAAAACCAAAAGCTTGAACCACCTACGGCTTGTCTTAAACTCTAAACCCAGATTTCTAAACCCCAAAACTGAAACACGAAACGTGAACCTTGGACCCCAAGCCCATAAACCGCCCTCCTGGAACCTCCAAAACTCTTTAAATCCTGCACCCCAGGTCCATTGCGAAACCCGTTTAAAACCTCTTCCCGGAAATCCTACTGAAGAAACCCTGACGAAACCGTAAGTAAACCCTGCGTATAACTACCTCTCTAGGGCTCCGTATGGTGAGTTCCATTTGTGAGTTCTTAGCACGGTAGATCACTTTTAGGCCCCAAGCAGTTAACCCTAACACCCCTTAAAGGAACAGTTTACCCTAAACCCTAAACCCGAAACCCTAAATCCTAAATCCTAAAACCTACACTCTAAACCCTAAACCCTAAACCCAAAACCCTAAACTCTAAACCCTAAACTCTAAATCCTAAACCTTATAGGAGCCCTACCCCTGCCTCGCGCTTCCACTCCATGTCAAGGCTACCCTCGGCCTGAAGGCTCCAGAGCTAAGGGTAATGTAGGGGCCTTAATTGAGGTTTAGGGTTTAGGGTTTAGGGTTTAGGGTTTAGGGTTTAGGGTTTA